TTCCGTGGCTTAGTTGGTATAGCGTCTGGCACGGTAAGCTAGAAGACGTCGGTTCGAATCCGGCCGGATCGAAGGAATTTTTTCTGAGTGTTCGATCTTTGTATTAATAATTAAAATGGTGATTTAGAAGCAAGTAAATTGCACGTGTCTTTTTTTGTTTTGAGGAGGATGATGTTATATTATTATTAAGTTGAAGGTATTTGCCAATTCCAACAACCATCGTTTTATTACACGTTACATTTACTACATTTTAGTTCGAGTTGCATTGAATAATTGCTAGCTGGCCATCTGTTGATAAAAATAAAGAAAAACCCGCCATTTGCAAAACCCATAATCATTGTGTTGTGAACCATATTTTTTAATAAAACGAAGTAAACAAATTAACACGGTATTTATTTACTCGCAAATGTGATGAAAAACATTGTATGTATTACGAACGTTAAAAAAATACAAACTCGAGTTATTAAGGCCCTCAGCCTTCGGCTTCGGGTATCGTTAGTAATTTCTTATTTACCGTCCTTAATACACAATGTACTATTATTACACCTTTTTATTCTTTTAATGTCTTTATATTTCTGATTTCTCCCACGGTTGGGCTTTATTGAAGTGTCGGTTTTATCTGAGAACGTTCCATCTTCTGCTTCTACCTGAGCTGGTCCTCGTACTCCTTTAGTTTCTCTTCTGCGCGTACGCGTGCTGCGATCTCCAACTGCAGCTTCTCTCTGTTCAAATACATTATTTTGTTAAGTCGATCTGTAAAATTACTCCTGTGGTACTGTGACGTCTATGCTACTTTGTATAGGGATAGCTTAATAAAACAACGTTTGTTTAAGTGTACGTTTGAGATTTTTTCTAAGTGTTTTTTGTATTAACAATTGTAACAAACTAGAGGAGTAACTTCACAATAAATAATTGAATATCAATTCAATAAAAATTTAAATTCAGTGACTACCGACATCTCTCGGTAGCCTGAAAAGTATCTAACTGGGTGACGAAATGCTTTCGTAGATTTCTCATAGATGGCGCTACGGCTAAAAAGTCGTTGAAAAACCAAATACAAAGATACGACAACAAGCACAGAAAAATCCGTGAGCGCTGGTTCGTTCCGTGACTTAGCGTCTGCCACGGGTTGCTAGAAGATGTCGGTTCGAATCCGGCCGGATCGAAGGAATTTTTTCTAAGAATTCGATCTTTGTATTAATAATTAGAACTAACTAGTGGAGTAATTTCACAAAAAATAATTTAATATCAATTCAATAAAAATTTAAACGTTTATTTACTTTACGTACGTGTGCGATACGTCCGCTCATACCACTAGACAGTGTCGCAGAGGCGGGAACGGCGGGCCGCAGCGTAACTTATATGTCTGTTGTCTATGGTACATTATGTTTATACACTACAGGTACATGTTAATTAAAATGAGAATAGTCTAAACAGAAGATCGCACCTCTGAGCCTGCTTGGCGAGCTTCTCTTCGCGGGCCTGCGCCTTCATCTGCGCAACCTCTATCGAGTCGGGCTTGCGCCGGCGCATGAATAGCTCGTGGTTGCCCTTGGACAGCGCCAGGATGCACTTGTTCACGCGCTCGTGCGGGGCGACGATCACATAGTCCGGTATTTTTTTGTCCATGGGCTTAATTATGAACTTGTTGTCGTCGAACTTTATGTCGCGGATCTCTGACCAGGGGAACTCAGTTTTCGGAGTACATCTGGAAAGTTAGAAATAAATAAGTTAGGTATTTCTCCTGACTACGTGTTAGAATATCTAAATACATTGCTGTTTTGGTTTTTCATTTGGACATTACATTTCACAAGCTAACCTACAGACGAAAGTAAGAGTGTTTTGTCAGTGTGTATATCTGTTGTGTTGTGTGTTTGTCAGGGTATGTCACGTGATATCATTGTGCGAAATGACGGGACCAACAAGTCGTGCTGGTGGTAAGCGACACGCCCATAACAGTTGCAGTGTCACTCAGAGCTTTAAATTGCAAAGATCTGAGTGGCACTGCCACAGCGGCCGTCACCCTGAGACATAAGTTCATAAGTCCCATGTGCCTGTAATTTAATCAGACACCGAGGCAGTAAAATAAGTAAACGTAAGGTGTTTTCAGAGTGCCTTATACATGGGCACGCGCTGTTTTTATGGCCCTATTCCACGCGTAAGCTTATTACCGAGGATATCGCCAGAAAAGATAGATTTAATTTCAAAGGAGCTTTCGTTCGCGACTGTACTTAGCGAAATGCGTTTGCAAAAGCTTTTCGTCCCAATTGCAGTCTAATCTTTTGAGTGGATCATGTTTACTTAAATATGTTAATACAGTACGGTAATATCCTTTAGAGGAGAGAAGTGCTTTTAAATACAAGATTTGAAAAAAATGTCGTTAGGGTTTTTTATGGTTAACTTTTGAATTTATATTTTTCCCGTAGTAATACAGTTAACCGCAACCTATGCGGGTTGACAAGTCCCATGTACCTGTAATTTCACCAGCACCCTTGTCCTTCTAAATCGGTACGCAGTAATGCTAACATTATCGTTTGGCGGCAGAAATAGGTAAGGTGGCAGTATTTTCCTGGACATACTCTTTTACAAGGAGCTCTACTGCTACTAATTTAATAATAAGGAACTAACAAGTCGTATTTTTCGTAGATGTTAAGTCCGGCCTTGTTAACACCGAGCCACAGGTCGCCTTCTGCCTTGTTGCGCATATCGAAATAGCTGACGCCATACATCGCGAGGTCTTGCGCGACTTTGAGGTACTCCATCATGGCGTCTTCGTTCGACATGCCGCGGTGCTTTTGCCACCAGTTTGTGATGCTCTGTTCGCATTCTTCACGGGAGATCTGTGTGAGGAATATTTGATTATTACGATGTTCTAAAGCACCGGAAAGTTAGTCAAATATTATCACAGTTAACATTTTTTTTAATATACGTATAAGAAATAAGTGCGCATATGACCTCCATTCACTCTCGCCGTGACAAGGTCCAAGTTATAGCGTTCGGAGAACAAATCTGCAGGCAGAGAATTCCACTCCCTAGCTGCTCGCCATATAAATTTGGAAGCGAAATGCCTCGTGCGAATCCTGGGTATATCCACGACATAGGGTTGGAAACCCAGCCCACATCTAGTCCCCCGATGATGGAAAGGGAAGGCGGAATCAAATTATGCCATTGCATGCATGAACTCGAGCTAACTCGGTTGACCCGCTCCGCCCGCCGCCGAACCGAATACTTCGTTCATACAGCGCGTCGGTGACCTTCAGAGCACGCTCGAGTTGTGAGCTACAGGCGAGTCGAGTTATTTTAACTCGAGTTACTCCCACAAGGAGTCACCTCGAGCTACACTTTGTGAACTTGAGCTAACTCGGTCGGTTCGGTCCCGATCGTGTCCAACTCGGTGAATCGTCGGTTCGAGTTCTACTCGCGACTCGCGGTTGCTCAGTCAAACACCGAGTCGAGTTAACTCGAGTTCGCAGTCAAGTCAACTCGAGTAGCTCGAGTTGAAACAAATACAACTCGTCCCATGGCTATTGCAAACGCGATGCAAGCGCGTGGCTTTATCAATACAAACGTTTCGTTACAGTAAAATAGTTATTTGTTTATGCAAGGCTGCAAAGTTGTTGTTTGACGCGGGTACTTGTAGTGAAATTTGAGCAAGTGAAAGAAGCTAAGATTCCTGAGTGTAGGGAGGGTTTCAAGGCGCGAGACGCAAAACAACTTTTGAACAGCGTTCGGTTAGGTATTTAATGTGGTGTTAGTGTTTGTCTGTCAATGTAGTGTGTAGTTGTATGCAGCAAATACCAATCGCCTGCTGTACATGAATTTATGGTAAGATAATAACTACTCTATCAGAATCTAACGGAGAGACCTCAAGGGTCGTCTTACGATCTATCAAGTGTAGCCCTACAACCTAACGGTGTGTAGCCTAACCTAACCATAAATATATAAATGGAGAGATATATAGTATAAGTAAGGAAGTCTGTCACCAGGAGACCTAAGGTGACAAACGGGAGTTGGGAAGGAAATTAGGATGTACACGTCGTGCGATGTGTACAGGAATGGTTTTCTCACTGCCGGTCAAGCAGACTCACAAGACCGATCTACTGATGGCTAAAGGTGTCTTGGCCACAGTGAGAGGAGTAGCAGGTAGTACGTCACTAAGCAAGCAGATGAGTTAAAATCAGATGGTATTGGTTAACTAACTTTATTTACAATATTTACTGACTATTTATACAATATTTGTTTATACTACATTATAATAAGTTTTCTTAGTGTGCTATGGGTGTTATTGATGACTAGGTTGATTTTTGTTAATTGGCATAGTACGTGACTATGCTGCACTTGTTGCAAAAGAATGATCATTCGAGAGGGAATATTTCCCAGTGCATGGAAGGAGGCGCATATAGTTCCCATACATAAAAAGGGGTCAAAATCGCGTATACAGAATTACAGACCCATATCGATTTTGAACATTTTCGCTAAGCTTTTCGAGAAACTAGTCTTCGATATTATGTATCCCACGATTGCATCAAACGTCAGTGAACAACAACACGGTTTTCTAAAACACCGTTCTGTCAACTCTAACTTGGGAGAGTTCATAAATTATGTCCTCAGAAATATGGACAAGCGCTCGCAGGTTGACGTGATCTATACAGATTTCGAAAAAGCCTTCGACCGTGTGGATCACGTCATACTGTTAAGAAAATTGCATACATTAGGCATACATGGAGACCTTTTGCGCTGGGTAAAATCGTACGTAACTAAGAGACGACAAGCTGTAGTTGTTGGGGGCTTTAAATCTAACTATGTAATTGTACCATCCGGGGTGCCGCAAGGATCTCATTTGGGGCCACTACTGTACAACGCGTATCTCTACGACATACATACTTGTTTCGCGAGCTCGAGATTCCTTCTGTACGCAGACGATAAAAAAGTTTTCTTGAGGGTGAACTCAATTACCGATTGCCATGATATACAGGCTGATTTGAATAGACTTTCGGAATATTATGCGCGAAACCGTATCAACGTAAACACAGATAAATGTGTACAAATCACGTTTACCCGCAAAACTAAACCAATTTCGTTTTGCTACTCGATTTGCGGTAGACTGGTGCAGAGGGTAGACCAGGTCCGTGATTTAGGTGTAACACTTGATAGTAAACTGTTATTTGATAAACACATAGACTTTATTATTGATAAGGCGTACCGGAGCCTGGGTTTCGTTATGAGAGTGTGCAAACCTTTCGATAATATATGCTGCATTAAAATGGTGTATAATGCATACGTTCGTAGCGTACTTGAATTTGGCAGTGTTATATGGACTCCTAAATATAGTACTTACATAAATAGTATTGAACGCATTCAGAAGGTATTTATTAGACATATAAACTATAGAACTAAAAAACAGTTTTTATCGTACGCAGAAGCATGTAAATATCATCGCATGAATGCCCTTGAGGATCGTAGAATATTGCTGGACATGACTTTCCTTAGTGATGTGGTCAACAGTCGCCTCGACAGTTGCCTCCTAACATCATCAGTAGGATTAGAAGTACCCCGACGAATCCCTCGTTTCCCCATTCAAAGGGTTTTTTGTGTTCCTGTCAGTCGCACAAATTATGGCCAGAACGAACTAATTTCGCGCATCACTAGTCTGTATAATACCACCTACAGTGACATTGATATTTTTGCGAACTCAAAAACAGCTTTTAAAAATAAAATTCTTAAGAAATTAAATAATTAAATATTTAAAATTTAAGTTAACTTACTTATTAATAATTATTAATTTACTTTTCATATACACGCACACATGTACACACACACGTACACACACACATACACACACACACACACACACACACACACACACACACACACACACACA